TGTCAGATTATCTGGGCTCCAACAACAATGAGCCTCTGTGGTGAGCAGGGTAAAGCCCAGATCCACGCAGAGCTATTCTGCCATTCACACACACTCCCCTTTTGGTAAAGAGAGTTCCCAGGGAGAATTTTCCTTCTAATTCAATTTCCTTCTAATTTTCCTCTAATTCCTTCTAATTTCTGTAGTGATAATAGCTAGGGTGACCATATAATTTATTATCCATATTAAGGTACTTATAAAAATGAGAGGGAACATTGTTAATAATTACAGTGGGACAAGTATAAACAAACACAAACTGTCCCGGGCAAACTGGGAGGCAGGGCCACCGAGTATGAGCACCGCACCTCCCAGCTGGAACAGCAGTCCCCAGGGAAGATGAGCTGTTCCAGGGTAAAAAGGAGAATGCCTCAGAGAACAAAATCCTTTAGTGTCTGGGTTTGACTCCTTGTTCCCCTACCTGCTAACTGTGTGACTTTGGCAAGTTACTTAACCTTGCTGTGCCTCAGTTTCCTCATCTGTAAAATAACAATAGTAACTTTCTGGGGGGTTGTTGGGTTAAACAAGTGAACACAGGTAACACAGTGGGTGCTACAGCAGGTGTTAGCTCTTAATATTCTCTTCCTGAAGTGAAAAATTTGAAGCATGTGCCAAGTCCAGATTAGAGCTGCAGCCTCAGGGTCAACAGGAGTCGTGGAGATGGATGCATCAGGCTTGACTGGCTCTCACGTCCTGCTGCACAGAACTTGGAAGAGCAGAGACAGGAATGTGTTTGGGTGAGAGTTCCCATATGCACCTTCCAGGAGCTGTGTGACCAAAGACAATGCCCCAAACCTCTCTGTTCTTCAGTTGCATCACCTGAACAGAAAGAATGATAATACCCTCTCCACAATATGGCTTTGAGAATTAAATGAGATAGTATATGCAAGAAAGCTCTAGAGAGAAAGAATTTTGGAATTCTAAAGCTGCTCAATATTTTTTCTTGTTTTTTGTTTTATTAAATATTATTTATATAACTAAAACTTGCCAATTTTAAGTGTACAGCTTAATAGTTTTTGGTCAATATATACAATTGTGTAACCGCCACCACAATTGAGGTATAGAACAGCTCTCCTCAGCTATTTCCTCCTTGCTCCTGGCCTTGGATGCCCTCCCAAACCCCAACCCAAGCAACCACTGTTCTTACTTTCTGTCACAGGTAGTTTTGCCTTTTCTGGAATTTCATTCAAATGGAATAATATAGTATGTAACCTTTTATGTTTGGCTTTTTAGGTTAGCATAATATTATTCATCCATGTTTTACATGTACTAATAGTTCATTCTTTTCTTTCTTTCTTTTTTTAAAAAATTTTATTTATTTGAGAGAGAGGGAGCGCAAGCAAGAGAGAGAGCATGAATGGCAGGGAGGGGCAGAGGGAGAGGGAGAAGCAGGCTCCCCACTGAGCAGGGAACCCAACGCAGCTTGATCTCAGGACTCTGAGATCATGACCTGAGCCGAAGGCAGATGCTTAACTGACTGAGCCACCCAGGTACCCTAGTTCATTCTTTTCATTGCCAAATAATAACCCATGATATGGATGTACCATAATTTTTTGATCCATTCACCAGCTGATGGACATTTGGGTTGCTTCCGGTTTTTGGCTTTTATGATAAAGTTGCTATGAACATTTGTGCACCCATTTTTGTGTGGTCATATGTTTCTCTTGGGTCAATACCTTGGCATGTAATTGCTTGGTTGTATGGCATATTCATATGAAATTTTGTTCAATGTTTTCAAAAGAAATTATGGGTTGCTGTATTAGAAATAGTGTGACATCAAGGTGAAGAAACCATGCCACTAACACCCTGTATTGTTAGAGTTTGTATGCAGCTAGATACTAATCAGTCACCGCTTGTATTTGCTAGGTCTTACTCTGTGCCAGGCACTGGGCTAAGTGATTTACTTGCATTGTCCTATTCTGTCCTCTCAACACCTCTACATCATGAATACTAATATAATTTCCAAGGCAGGTAAGTGATAGAGCCAAGATTTGAACCCAGGGATTCTGGGTACAGAGCCCACAGGTCTAACCACTGTGCACTATTGTGTTTGAGGCGTTATTTCCCTTGAACACAACATGGTTTAGTTCTGATTAACCTTCTTGTCATAAACAGAGGGCTCCAGAGCACTTTGCACAAAGTTTGGAGGTTTCTGATCTATCAGACTGCACACTAGCAGCCAAAATGATCTTCAGAAATTTTTCAAAAATCAGCTGCCAGCTAAAAACCTTGCAATGGTTTCCCATTTCCCCTTAAAACTCAGCCCAATGTTATCACCCCTGCATAGCTAGCTCTTTTCCCCACCTCTCCAGCCCTATCTTGGGCTACTCCTTTGTCACTTGAACAATCTAGGTACACTGTTCCTCAAACACACTAAGCTCTCTCCTGTACAAAGTACATTTTTTTAACGACATAAATTAGGTCATGCTATACATATTCTGAGACCCGCATAATATGTCTTGGAAGATTTTCCATGTCCTAGCTCTCACTTCATTCTACTTGCTATTTCTTCCTTCCCTTTTCCCCACCTTGTCTACTTTTTCCCTTCCTTCCTCCTCTCTCTCTTTTATGATCACTCAGTAGAGTTGTGTTAAAAGTAGAAAGTAAAAACATCTCTTCCCCTAGATCAGCCCTTTCCACTGCCCCAAGGTGACCCCATTCACGGGTTGAGGGTAAAAGGTAGTTCAGGCAGTTCTGACTCTGTCCCAAGGCCTGCATGGCCCCCAGCGACCCACCCCTTCCCTTGCCACAGCTGCATCAAACCAGGCCCTCCGAGGTGTGAAATCATGCATGAGTGCAGCTCCTTCCATTAAACGCTTTTTTTCTGTAGGGGCATCTGGCTGGCTCTGTCAGTGGAGTGTGCAACTCTTGATCTCGGGGCTGTAAATTCAAGCCCCACATTAGGTATAGAGATTATTTAAAAAAACTTTTTTTAATCTTTAAAAAAAATTTAAAAACCAAAACATTATCTGTAAAGTACACTTGAAACTCTTGGCCCCTACAAACAGAGAGGAATGCTCATGTGTGGTTTACTGCAGGGAAATGTTAAGAGCCCAAATGTTGCCGTTAAGTTGATGAGTTGCCCAAAAGTCACACTAGGAGAGCTAGCTGTGTGGATCTGAGTCCCCACATCTGGGAAGACAGGCTTTAAAATGATCTTACTATTGAGTAAACTGAGGCAGGTCAGGCCTTGATGGATATAGGGAGGTGCCCAGGAGAAAGAAGGAAGCAGGTCTGCAACCGAATTGCATATGAATCAGAAATCCTGGTGGCTTTGATTACGGCCTCCCAAGGAGGGAGTGTGCTTGAGCGAAAACTCTCCATCACAGTCAGTGGGATTCTGGCTACACTGAGGGGTGGCCCTGGCCCACCTGTCCTCTGGCACTCCGGATCCTCTCCACACCTTGAAGTTTCTCTCAGCTCATTTTTACCAATGAAAGATGAGACATGAAGGGCAGGGAATCTACATTATTAATCCTTTTAAAGCATAAACAGAAGTGCAACTGAAGCCTGGAGGCCCCAGGCAAACACTAGACAGGGATGTGGTTCTGGGAGGAGGGCTGCCCCCCGCTCTGCGACGCTGTGCCGGCTGCCTGGGTGGCATCTGCCCCCGTGGACGGTCAAGGAAGCTGCTAGTTCCTGAGGCATACTGTGTGATGGAGCAGAAAACCTGGGCTTTAGAGTAAGAAAGATCCACACTCTAATCACTGCTGACGATGGGCTGGGCAGCTAATAACTCCCTGAGCCTGTACGAGCTGCTGGGGGATTCAGAGAGGTATTATAAACCCTTCTGATGATATCCTGTAAATGTGTGGCCTCTGCTCTACCTGAAGAACACCTGGCTCTAGGTTCTCTTTCCGCAGAACTCTGAGCCCTATGAGGACACTCTCTAGGAAAGCTAATGACAGATGGTCACGAAGTGACTTACTGATCCAGAGACCGTTGTGGGACTGCACATCGTTAAGGACCTCCGAGAACCTCGAGAACAAAGTTGCCACTGGAGTGCTCAGCTCTGGGGGCTCATGTATGTGTCTGTGAGGCAGGACTTCGGGCTCCTCCTCCCAGCGCATACAAGAAAGCCAAGCACAGGCTCCCTAAATGCACCAACGGGTTCAGAGGGCAGCCGCAGTTCTTCTGGGTAGCAGGGAAATGGAGAAGTCCATCCAGATTGTTGGTGCCTGTAGCCCCAGGTCACAGAGACATCACCGTTATCTGCCCCAGGGGATAAGGACCCATTGGCACTTTTCCTCTAGCTGCCCAGGCACCTAGCATCTCTGGGAACTGGCTGTTTGTGCATCAGGACTGTTCTAGCCCAAGTTTTTGGAATGGAAGACCTCAGTCTTGGGAAAGCAAGACCTGATGCTGTCTAGGCCTGGGGGTGGGGGTGGCAGAGGAGGGGGCATCCCTGCTTCCTGCAGTGGGGATTATTTGGGCTGCCTTCTGCAGCCACCTCAGTCCTGCCCAGCTGCTACTCAGGACCACAGGGATGTTTTGAACCCAGTTCACTCCCTGAAGCACTAGTACAATGGCTCTCCCAGAGCGAGTCTCCCCCGAACCACTGGGATCTATGCTTCTAGGCTTTGCTCCACCTGCTCTCTTCTGTCTGCAGTGTCCTCTCTGCCCTTCCTTAACCATTATCCCTACGAAACCAACTCCTTCCAACTCCACCTCAACTGCCACCACCGCAAGAACCTCCCTAATTACCCTCCTAAACACATTCACTTCTTATCTATCTTTATACACTGTCAACTCCTCGAGGGTGAGGATGAGTCCTCTCTCTCTTTCTCTCTCTCTCTCCCATAAGTCTGGGCACTAGACTTCGCATTACCCTGGACAAATAAACAAATGGCCAATACCAGGTTAATGCTAATAAGCTCAGAGTCTTCCACACTTCCTTGGGAGAACCTAAATTATATCAGTTCTATCAGCGGTTCAAAACCTTCAATTAATGGATTCCAGTCTCTTCAAAGCAGTGGGAGAATTTCCCCAAAGTCAATCCTGAGGCACAGGACCTCCTCTAGGCAGACTTGGGAACTGGCTACTCTCACAAATTCCTGATTGCTCTCAAAAAGGTGAGCATCCAGCTCTAGTTGATGACATAAAGGAAGGGAATAATTCCTTTTCTGTTTTAAGGGAAATACAGGCAACAGTAAAGTATGCAGGAGAACAGAAGCATACCTGACATGGAGCCTTGGGGGGTGCAACAGGGAGAAGGCAAGAGGACACGCGAAGCCTCCAGACCCCATGCCGTCGACCCCACAGACAAGCCGCCAAGAGAAGCAAAGCCAGAGAACCCAAGTGGAGGCAGCTTATTTCATCAGCATCCAGCTGGTTAAAAATAACTTCACTTATTAGTTTAAGTGAGATCACCACAGGGCTGGAAATTCACTGTCAATGAAACAAAAATACTGGAAGGAAAATGAGAAAAGTCTACATTCATGATGAGCTTTATTTCAAAAAAGAAACACAGGAAGGAAGCTGCCTGGATATTCCACAGGCTCTGTTTTCCTTCTGGGCTCTTCATGAGGCACTCGTCTACCATTCTGGGAGTCAGCACGCTTCATTCCTCCCATCTTGCCAGAGAGAAGCAGCAGCACGGAGCCAAGTGCCGTGGAGCATCATCAGGAAAAAGGCAACCTTAGGAGATGACGCAGCACTGGCGCGAACGCTGAACCAGACCAGCCCTCCCCTGCCGCAGAACCTCAAGGAACTGCCTGTTCTCGGCTTCTGCCGAGGCTCTACACCTTCCTTCAGCACACAGATTTCCCTTGTCGCCTGTGCGGCCAACAAAGGCTCTACTGAGGAAAAGCGAAGGCTCCCGAGTAGGGCGGAGGCCGGGAGGGAGTGCTCTACAGGCTCTTCCCAAAGGAGGAAAGGCAGCGCTCAACAGGGACAGTGCTCTCTCTGAGTGACTTTGGGGAATCCATCCTGCTTTTCTAGAACGCTCAAGAGAGAGCAGCCCTCCAACCCTAATCCCCCCTCAGCATGCATTCCTGAGTCCCCTTTGTGGCCCACCTGAAGCCTCCTCCTAAATCAGGCCCATAGGACCAAGACTCCAGTCTTCGCCATATGAGCTCATCTGCATTGACCCGGAGGTGCGGGGAGGCCAGGCGAGGCTCCGGCAAACTGCTCTGGGAGGCAGGGCTCTGGAGCACCCTGACGCTAATGAGCCACACACGGGGGCATCGCTCCTCACATTGGTTGACAGCCGTCATGAACTGTCTTCCCTTGTTGGTTCCCATGAGTCAGAGTGTTTTTGTGTTTGTTTTTCCTGTTGTTGTTATTGTTGTTTTTGGAAGTATGTAGACCATTTTTTGGTCGGAAATTTTTCATTCTTACATAATTTCAAAATTTCAGAAAAATTGTAAGAATAAGGATTTCCCATAAAACCGTTTAAACAGAGTCACCAATGTGTTTTCATTTTGCCCATTTGCTTTATCATTTGTCTCTCTCTCTCTAGATAGATGGATGATGTAGATATCTATTTATACAGAAACAAATATATGTATGCGTATATACACATATATGAATACATATGTATATCTATACCTGTAATTCTTTTCTGAGCCATTCGAGATTAAGCTGTAGATATGATGTCTCCTCGTTCCTAAAACCTTGGCACACATTTCCAAGAACAAAGATATTCTCTTACAGGACTGCAGTACAGTTATTAAACTAGTCCCTAAATCATAATCCATACTCAGATTTTATCAATTATAGCTATTTTTTCTGGTCCAGGATACAATCCCCGATCACAAATTACATTTTGCATTTTATTGTCAAGTCTTTTTAGTCTATTTAGTCTTGTTATTGTTAATCTAGAAGAGTCACTTCGCCTTTCTCATCCCAGACATTTTTTAAAGTCATTTTGTGGAATGTTTCTCAATTTGAGTTTGGCTCATGTTTCCTCCTGAGTAGATCCAAGTTATGCATTTTTGGCAGGAATGCCACTGAATTGAAGTAATGTTCCTCTGATTGCTGTATATCGGAAGGCACATTATATCAGTTTGGCAAAAACTCAGTTCTGGAGTCACTGTCATGGCTTGAGCTTGGTGCCCTACAGGGATGTGAATGGATGTTTCCAACCTCTGGCTTCATGCACTATAATTGTGGGCAAAAAGGAGCACATACTTGCACAGACACAACCTGTCTGAAGGCCAGTGAGGTGGAAAGCCCAAACTATCCTGTTGGATGATGATGAACATATGGCTCAGTGGCCCCCAGCACCCTAGCCAACAGCCACCAACTCCTAGAAGCAAGGCCACCTAGCCATCAGCTGACTGTAGACTCAGGAATGAGCCCAGCCAAGACCAGGAGAAAGACAAACTGCTGATCCAAAAAACTAGTGAACTAAATAAATAGTTGTTTTAAGCTACTACATTTTGGGGTGGTATGTTACATAGCGAAAGCTAACTGATATCCCTTGTTCAGCAGGGAAAGAGAAGATTCAGAAGCCCCACATATTCATTGAGATCACTGAAGAAAGAAGATCATGCTCTTTTTCTTCTGGCTCTGTGCTGTCTCTCTCAGGAATCTGAACTTTTGCCTATGTCTGGGATTCAAAGGATCATCTTAATTTACTTACATGGTTTTGAAAAACAAACCATGGATATTGTTCTCACCAAGCTTTACAGAGCAAGGCCACATCATTCAGTAGCTCAACTGGGCAGATATCAGAAAACTCTCCCAACACACTCTTCCATAGCAATGAGCATATGAAGACTTTCTGGAGGAAGACCCCATAGGAGCAGGGAAGCTTGTCACTGATAAGTATCTAACAAGCGTCAGCCAGGGCCTTGGGGTTCACCTGGCTCTCTGATTTCCCAACTCCTCCGACCCCTTCCCTGGATATTAGGATTTGGTGCCTCTAGGATGCAGCCTGAGGGAAATTTCCTTTTGGGGAAAAATGATTTTTTCCTTGTTCGTGTGCTGTCCACCATGAAGAGAGACTGGAGGGCAAGCTACATCAACAACTGTAGCAGATGCTGTCAGGGGTCTGCCCCGTATTGCCTAGATACCTTTACCAGTTCCATGCACAGGGGTTCCCAGTAGGCATCTCTGCATCTTTGTTGGAAGGTGGCGCCCAGGCTCCTGGAACCCTTTACCAGCACACAGCATAAACCACAAGTGCCTGGGAGTTTACATCCCCTGAAGCAGCCAACGACTCATAGGCGCAGTGGTATAAATACCGCTGCTCTCACCTCTGATCAGAAAAACTGGTGACCTACACTGTCTCCAGAGATCTCCTGTAGGACTGAGCCAAGGTCACCCCCACCTCACTGCCACTGTGGACTTTGCTCAGTATTGCCACACTGCTTGGTCTACCTCCTTTCTCTTCCCACTGCCCCACTGCCCTATTGGCTTTTCTTTGGAAGACTTCCTCATCTCAAGGTCTGCCTCTGGAGAATGCAACCTAAGATGGCGACCACCATACGCACCCTCCAGAAACTTGACAAAGGCTCCGGCACTGACCTTCATCCTTAATACAAAGGGCACTGTACGTGCCACCAGGAACTGGGTTGCTCTCAATTCTCACATCAATGGCTCTCGTGATTTGCTGTTCATTGCTCCCTTTACTACACACGGTTGTCCTGAAACAGACAAAGAAGACACTGTGTTAGGAGTACTAACTAAGAATAGGAAAGAACAATTCTTTTCTGCCATCGGTTCCCAATCAGCAGAGATTTTTCTGAGTCAGGATCTTTGGCTGAAAGCATCAGTAGGGAAGTACTCTTCCCAGACAAAGGCCTGCAATCACGAAGACACAGGTGATGCCTCTGTTGAGGCCCACATGTATCAGTTCAAGTTTCAATGCCGGTACGTTGTTGATCTTTTCTAGTGTATGTGTGTTTTATTTCACAAAATGCTGCTCTTCTTATTAGTTCCTTTCTTTTTGAGGGGGTTTGTTTCTGTTCTTTTTCAGATTTCTTAAAATGGATCATTACTTAATTCATAAACCTTTAGCCTTTTCTCTGTTCTAATACAAGCATCTAAATGTTTTACATTTCCCTCTAGGTATAGCTTTAGTAGCATCTTATAAGTTTGAGTATGCTATAGTTTTAGTATCATTCAGTTCTACATACATGCTACTTATTAACAAACCATAATTTATTCTTCGCCCATGATTTATTTAGGAGTATCTTTGGCAAACAGCAAATAGTAGAATTTTAAAAAATCTCTGTTTTCTAAATGGAGCATCTCATCTATTTTAATCATCTAATTTAATCACAGATCTCTTTGAATTGAAATCTGCCATCTTTCTATTAGTTCTGCACATTCTTTGTTTCCTCTTTTCTTTCCCCTATTCTGATTGTTTGAATCTTTTTTTGGCATTCTCTTTTTCATATTGGTCTGGAAGTTACATATCCTTTTACTATCCTTTTAGTGGTTATGACTTATTAATATTTAATATTACTTTTACTCTCTTCTCCAACAATACAACTTAAAAATACTTAAAATACTATGTATTAGCATACCTAAAACATTACCTGATCTATGTGCCATTTTTTAGTGTTTAGTATTATTTACTGCTTTATATAATTACATAATTTCAATTTACCCCATATTTACTCTTGACATTCATTTCTTTTTTGCATCTCCAGCCTTCCACCTGTAATTACTTTTCTCCTGCCTGAAGATTAGCCTTTAGTGTTTCTTTTAGTGCAAGTCCAATATAATGGATTTTCTCACCTTTTGTCTGTCTGAAAATGTCTTTATTTTACTTTTATTCTGGGAAGATATTTTCTCTGGGTATAAAATTCTAGGTTGGCAATAATTTGAAAGTACCACTCAGTTGTTTTGGGGCTTTCATTGTCCATTTATTGTTGCTCCTTGGAAGGTACTTGTTATTACTTTTAATATTTTTCCTTTATATTTGATTCTTACCAGTTTCACCATGATGTGCTAAGTTTGAATTTGTTTGTCCTACTCAGGTTTTGTAGGGCTTCTTAAATCTGTGCCTGGGTGTTTTTCTTCAGCTGTAGATAAGTCTCATATTGCTTTTGCTCCTTCTTTCAGAATTCCAATTACATACATCTCTTCCTTTGACCCTTTCTTCTGTATTTTTCATCCTTCTTTTACTTCTGTTCTTTATTCTGGATACTTCCTCTAAAATATCTTCTAGTTCACTAATTTTTTCTTTGGCTCTTTTAAAATCAGATGTTAGATCCATCCATTATGCTCTTAATTTCAGTTATTGTATGTTTCACTTCTAGAGTTTCCATTTGGTTATTTTCATAGTTTCAGTCTTTTGCCAAAATTCTCCTTCTTGTCTTCTGTATCTTTGAACATTTGAGAAAGTTATTTAAAGTCTGCATCTACCAATGCAAATATTTAGAGTTTCTATTCGCTGTCTTTATTCTGGTTGCCTTATCTCCTAAGTGACTGGTTATTTTATATTGTGGGACAAATCCTATATTTTCTAAAAATTGTTTGTGGAAATAAATTGCCTAGGATAAGGCTATCCCCTTCTAGAGAGGATTTTTTAAATCAGTTCTGCTAGCTATTGGGAACACTGGAACTCCAGTATCATCTCAACCCACATTCGTGGCTCCAGAGGATTTTGAGCTATGCTGTGGCTACTATGTGGGCCTGTAAGCTTCTTCCAATTTACTCTTACTCCTGGGATACAGCCCTGTAAAGTCCCAGCCCAAAGCAAAAGACTCTGCAGGCCCTGACTACACAAAACCTGAATTCAAATCTCTGTCCTAGTCCTATAAGGCCATCTAAATTGCTACTGTTTTTCAGCCATCCTTTATGGAATCTGCAAAAGCTTCTAGGAAGCAAGTGGTTCCCAATTCTGTATTCACCACTCTAGGCCTCCATCCTCCTCTGGATTTATGTGTACACTCAACATAAATTCATGGACATACAGATCAGATCTACTATATATTTACTATGCCATCAATTGCAAGATGCACCCTGCATTTAATAATTGGTTTTCAGTGTGGAGGGGGGATGGCTGTATAGGAAAGACCCACAGTGAAATGTATATACTGATGATCAGATGCTTCTTGGTTCCAGAAACATTAAAATAGTTTTATTTTTAGAATTAATATGTTGTGTAGTAAATATATCAAGTAAGTATGTTTGCTACAAAGAAATATCATCTAAGCAATGTAGAGATCTACTAATATGTCCTAACATTTTAGAGCAAACCTAGAGAGGATGGATCTTTCTAAAGACCCAGTCCTGATCTGCAATGCCTGGGAGACGGAAGTCTGGCTCCAAGCTGGCTCTTCAGAATTCCCGAACATCCTGGTTATCTGATGCAATGATAATAACAGAGTTATGAAAAATATCCACATTTGACTACACTGTGGAAACATGCATGTATAGGACCTGTTTTGTCTGTTCAGGAACCTGGACGTAAAATGTCCGGCAGAGAGGGCCATGGGTCCAGAGTCACTGGGAGGCTCTGGATGTAGCCTAGCTGTCCTCTTTATTCAACTGCTGCTTCACACATGACACAACCAGAGACGTAAGTCAGCCTGGTTGTGTGTGTTTTCTATGGCCATCTGCCAGCCCATCTTCAAGGTTATTATCAGCCAAAGTAGTTGCTGGAGCCCACTTTGCTCTTTCACATTCCTGTGGCATGAAGGAGACAGTGGAAGGGCTCCTGCCTTTTCTGAGTATGACTAAAGAAGCAGTTAGCAGAACGAATGGGCAGTTTTCTCCTAGCTAGCCACAAGAATTATTTCTCCACAAGGATTCTTTGGGTCAGGAACTCAGAGAGGGCACGATGCAAATGGCTTGTCTCTGCTCTCTAATCTCTAGTCTAGGGCCTGAGCTGGGAAGACTCATAGCCTGACAAGAACTCAACAGCTGGGGGTGAGACTCACGCCGAGGCACCTTCACTCACATTTCTGGCAATTAATGCTGGCTATGGGCTGGGACAGCAGTGGGGGCTGTCGGTGGAGTTACCTTTGTGGGGCATCTCCCTGTGGCCTGGGCTTCCTCATAGCATGGCCTGCTCAGGATAGGCAGATGTCTTACTTGACATCTCAAAAGTGACTGTCCCAGAAATCTGGGCATGGATTTTTCTGACCTAACCTCAGAAGTCACATGGTATCAATCCTGCTGTATTCTATCGGTCAAGGCAATACTATACCGTCCCTGATTCAAAGGGAGAGGACACAGACCCCACTTATCAATGAGAGTAACATGAAAGAATTTGTGGCCATACCATCCTCCTATTCATATGTATGTAGATGAATATCCACAGAGAAAAAGAGATAAAGAATATATACCAGTTAAGAGTCACTACAATCGAGGTGGGGAAAAAGAAAAAAGAGAAAAAACTTGGTACTTTTACATGTATCTGTATTATTTGAAATTCTTTACAAGCATGTATTATTTTTGTAACTTAAAAAGGAAATTCAAAATAACAAAGGGGGGAAAAACTGTGACAGAACGCCACAAAAATGTTTTTATTTGAGAACTCAAAACAAGAATGTGCTGGAAGCTACTGCCCATTGCATGTTGCCTATCCTGGCACCTCAATAAAACAATTACTGAGCTCCCATACAAGCCCTGGTAGGCAGCGGGGGTGAATGGGAAGGAGAGCTTTCCCCAGCACACCTGACTTACCCCAGGGTGCCATCCGCCAACCAGCCGGTGGTGCACACCGCAAAGGCACAATCCTGGACCACCCTCCGCAGCTCTTCCGCAGACACCAGGTGAGCGCCCCTGCTCTTGCAGGAAAGCCGAGCCACCTCCAGTTCTAGGCCCCGAGAGCCATTCTGAGACTCCAGCACAAAAAGCTTCCCTGTGTGGGGACAAGCACGAACACAGGCTTACTCCAGGATCCACGGGAATTTAACCTGAGCAAACTCACTCTCTGGCAGACACCTGTCAGAACTGGAGTTTCCTGCTTGCCTGAAGACCCGAGGGCAGCAACTACCCCATTGCACTCATCCCCGGGACTAGGCGATGACAATTACTTTGGTGCTTTCATCTGTTTTTTGCTCCTGTCTTCTTTAAAAAAAAAAAAAAAAAATCAACCATCTGCATTGTTTATCTGGATAAACCCTTCAAATCTTCCTTTCTACAGGCTATTTTACAAACACCATGGCGTGAGGCTCAGTGTTCTCCATCCCCCTGAGTTGGGTCAGTTGGTGTCCGGGGCACTGATTTAGGTCTCAGCTCTGCCTTCTGCCCCAGCCCTAGGGGTGACCCCATACACAGTTCTCCCCATTCGCTTCTCTCTGTCCTATTGTCTCAGGACACTATCAGGCCCTTCCCGCAATGAGTTCACTTGTGCTTGCTGCCATTTCTCCCAGACTGGATGAGGTAGCAGAAACCATATCTGGTGCACCTTGGCTCGCTGCAGCACATGGGCATGTAGAGGGCCTCAAAAAACATGTGGCAGATGAGCGGAATGGAAACATGAATTCAGGCAGAGGTGGAAGCTGAGGCTGAAAGCAAAAGAGAGCTTTAGGCAAGAAACCCATGAGGAGGAGGGGAGCACTGCAGTCCCTAGGAGCTTCCTGTAGAGATGAAGCAATGCCTTAGATAACCTGACCAAGTTTAAGGTAAAGGCAAGGGAGAAAAACACCCAGTTAGAATGAGACACTTCACTTCTGTCCATTAGCAAAATTATCATAATATACTGATTTTATTAGAATGAGACACTTTAACTGTTATCAACTGCAAAATATCTATAATAAATATAACTATCCCTCAGCTTTGGAACGAAAGTTATGAGAAAAATGCAAAAATGTTTCACAATAAACGTATCTATAGGTGACTGGTCCTCCCTTAGACTTGGTACCAGTGTGCAATACACAATCTGAACAGCTATACTTTATGGTTTGGTCTGGAGAAGCATGTGCCCCAAGAGACTTTTGTATTAATGGCATTTGCCTATCTGGAAAAAAATATTATGAAATTTAACTAAAGTGTTGATGGCCAAACCCCCAAGCAAGGGGCATAAAAGTGAAAGCCCAGGCCTCACAAGGTAGGGAATGTGACAGACCTCTCCACCCCCCTCCAACACCATCTCATGCACATATTAATACACAAAGCTTGGACACTGAAGGGTTAAACTCTCAGGATAAGAATGAACAAGGATAAACAATATTCCCTCCCCTCATTCTCAAGGGACTGTTGGAAGAGTTGTCTTGGTGCTAGGAACCCAAGTGCTAATCCTCATTGGGAATTGCAAAAACTGGCCTCTGAGGTACTTTAAGCCATGAATTTAGCTTAAAATGGCTTGAGATCGACATTTATCCAGACACCTGGTAAGAACAAACATAAATCTTGTCTGGAGAAAAAAATATTTTCATCTTATGCTTCAGGAAATCCCATGCAAATATTTTTTCAAAGGCAATGACAAGGACAGTAAAATACACCTAAGTGTATAGGAAACAAGGCACCACTAGTGAGAAACAACATATAAAACATTCAGCAGACACTGACTTACAGAGAAATCTGATACTGGTGTTAATAGGCATAGATTATAAAACAGTGATGATTACTACATATAAAGGAATAAAAGGCACATCTGAAAATACCTGCAAAGGATAGAAAACTATAAAAAGTGGCTTAGCTGATAAGAAAAAGAACCAAACAGGATTTCTAGAAATTAGATACAATGATAAATTAAAAATGGAATGGATATTTTTGGCTGCATATCAGACACAATTGAGCAAAGAACTTATTCTTGAAACAGAAATCAGAAGAAAGCATCCAAAATGTAGTAAAGAGACAAAAAAGTTGGAAAATAATAAGATAATAAAGAGACATGGAGGAAAGAATAAGATTCCAGAAATAAACCTTCACATTTACAGCCAACTGATTTTCAACAAGGGTGTCAAGACTATCCAATGGGAACGAAGAGTCTTTTCAAGAAATGGTGATGGGACAATTGTATGGGCACCTGTAAAAGAGTGAAGTTGGACTCCTGCCTCACCCCCTACACGATAATTAACTCAAAGTGAATCAAAGACCTAGAAGAAAACATAGGAAATCTTTGTCATCTTGGATTATGCAGTGGTTTCTTAGATATAACAACAAAAGCCCAAACAAAGAGAAAATACATAAATTGAACTTCATCAAAATTAAAAACTTTTTGCTTCAGAGGACAAAATCAATAAAGCGAAAAGACAACCCACAGAATGAAAGAAAATTTCTGCAAATACACATCTAATAAGAAACTTGTATATAGAATGGGTAAGGAACTCCAAAAACTCAACAACAATTAAAGAAACCAAATCACTTGACTGAAAGTGGGCAAAGGACTTGAAAAGATGTTTCTCCGAAGAAGTTTTACAAATGGCCAATAGAACATGAAAAGATGCTCAACAGCATTAACCATTAGGGAAATGCAAATCAAAACTACAATTAAATACCATTTCATACCCATTAGGATGGCTATTAATAAAAAAAGAAACAACAGAAAATAACAAGTGTTGGCAGAAATGTAGAGAAAAATTGGAACCCTTATGCATTGCCAGTGGGATTATAAAATAGTGCAGCTGCTGTGGAAGATAATATAGTGATTCTCAAAAAACTAAACATGGAATTATTATGTGATCCAGCAATTCCCAAAGAAGTAAAAGCAGGGACTTGAATGATATTTGTACAAATTCATATCAGTATTATTCACAACACCCATGGGTGGAAGCAACAAAAGCATCCATCAACAGATGAATGGATAAACAAAATGTGGTGTATTATATATATATAAATATTAATCAGCCTTAAAAAGAAGAAAATTAATCAGCCTTAAAAAGAAGAAAAATTTGACACGCTACAACATGGATAAATCTTGAAGACATTATATTAAGTGAAATAAGTCAGTCAAATTACAGAGACAGAAAATAGAATGGGGGTTACCAAGGGCTGGGGTGGGGAGGAAAGAGAACTAATGCTTAATGGGGCAGAGTTTCAGCTGGCAAAGATGAAAAAGTTCTGGAGATGAACAGTGGTTGGTGATGGTTGCCCAACAATGTGAATATACTTAGTGCCACAGAATTGTATACTTAAAAAGGGCTAAAATGGTATTTAACAAATGGGTAAAGGGTCTGAATAGACATCTTTTTTTTAAGATTTTATTTATTTATTTGAGAGAGAGAGAGCACGAGCAGCAGGGAGCAAAGGGAGAGGGAGACCAGACTCCCCGCCAAGCAGGGAGCCCTACATGTGGCTCGATCCCAGAACCTGGGGATCATGACCTCAGCCGAAGGCAGATGCCCAACCAACTGAGCCACCCAGGCACCCCTGAATAGACATCTTTAAAGAAATAGTCAATCAGCACATGAAAAGATGCTCAACATGGTTAGCCAACAGAAAAATGCAAATCAAAACTACGAGATATTACTTCATATCCACTAGGATGGCTATCATCAAAAAGACATATTTTGACATAAGTGATGATGAGGATGTGGAAAAAGTAGAACCTTCAAACACTGCTGGTGGAAATGTAAAAGAATGTAGCTGCTTTGGAAAATAGTCTAGCAGTTTCTCAGTTAATAGCAGTTTCTCATAGAGTTACCATATGACCCAGGGATCACACTCTTAGGTGAATACCCAGGAGAACTAAAAACACATGTTTACATAAAAACTTCTATATGAATGTTCATAGCAGCATTATGTGTGGTAAATAATAAATTAAGTTCATAATTGTAAAATTGTGTTTATAATAGCCAAAAAGTAGAATCCACCCAATGACCATCAACTGATGAATGGATCAACAAAGTACGGTATGAATATCCATACAATGGAATGTTATTTGGCAGTAAAATGAAGTGCTGATACATGCTGCAAATGGATAAAAACATTATGCTAAGTGAAAGAAGCCAGTCACAAAAACCCACATATTTTATGATTCCATTTACATGAAATGTCCAAAACAGGCAAATTCATAGAGTCAGAAAGTAGTTGCTGAGGACTTGGGAGGTTGAGGAGAAACAAGAAGTAAATGCTAATGGGTATAGGGTTTATTTTGGGGCGAAAAAATGTTCTAAAATTGTGTGTAGTGATTCATAACTCTGTGAGTATACTAAAGACCAGTGAATCACACACTTTAAATGGGTGAATTGTATGGCATATGAATCATATTTCAATAAAGCTGTCATTGAAAAAGGCATCACTAGAGAAGAACAGGTTCTGTTATGATGATAGTTATTTCATGAGTAATATAAAATAATTTTAAACACTTAAATAAATAACAACTCTAGACTGGAAGAAGGCAATATTAACAAAACTACAGGGAGATTTGGAAAAATCCACAGTGCTTATAATTTTTTTTTAAAGATTTTATATATTTATTTAACAGAGAGAGACAGCGAGAGAGGGAACACAAGCAGGGGGAGTGGGAGAGGGAGAAGGAGGCTTCCCGCGGAGCAGGGAACCCGATGCGGGGCTCCGTCCCAGGACCCTGGGATCATGTCCTGAGCCGAAGGCAGACGCTTAATGACTGAGCCACCCAGGCGCCCCTCACAGTGTTTATAATTTTAAGCACAATCCTCCTCAGTAATTGATAAAACAGGAAAAAATTGGAATGAATATAGAAGATTTAAGCAACAAAATTAACATGCTTGATGTAAGGACCAATGCACAATACTGCATACTACAAAATACACATTCATTTTAGACACACACAGGACATTTGTAAAATTGATCAAATACTGAGCTACAAGACAAACTGAAAAACTTTTCAACACTCAAATCATACAAAGCATATTTTTAAACCACAATACAAACAACCTAAAATCATTTGTTTTATTTATCAAACACTTATACAGTGTTTACTATGGTCCAGGT